TTATTTTAGTGAGAGTCATTCGTTCTTATATACAGTCAAGAACTACACTCTGGTACTCTAGTGTAGTGCTAATTTGATCGGTTCGTGTTATTCAATACTCAGTATTCAGTGCATGAAATGATCCATTGTTGTGAGAGTTGAGATTTTACAAATTACAAAACATATCTGAGTTGATACTATCTGAAAGCTGTCGAGAGACGAGCGTCTAAGGAGCGCTAGTGTCGCCATCTATCAAGATTTTTGAATATATTTCAGTGCAAAAATTTCATACTTTGATATTCAATTTCATGTTTCAATCTGGTTCTATACAAGTACTCTATATAACTTCGCAATCTCAAAATCATCATATGAATAATTGATGAATCAACTCAAAATTTATTTAATGCATTATTTTCAAGAAATCATCCGTTCTCATTGTCACCTATCAATCTGGATACCAGAATTCGTGGATCATGATATACCCACACAATTTTCATCCATTCTTCAATGAGTTTAGGTTTTTCAGGGGGTAATTTTAACATTACATGAATTCTATTAGCCCCAAATCTCATGATTCATAGACGGTTTTGATTTATTCGTGATTGGTCAGGGTGTAACAAGGTGTTAATATTTCATAAAAAGTGTATTTTTTGCGTTAACTTGAGTAATACCACTGTCGAAAGTAATAACTTTTCATCCTTCTATGGTGTTTCTTTTGAATGGATATTTCAGAACCCTTCTAAAATTACTATATCCGTGTGATTTTTCACTATGAAGGTGTGAATTGACACTATTGTACATGGTTTTATCAAATCTCTAATAATATTGATATACCTAATATTGCTAATCGAGTGTTGATTCAATCGGAGTTATTTCTGAAATCCACTCGATTATGAAATGACACCCGAAAATTTTGCACTGTACATATAAAAGCGTAACATTTCAGAATAGTCACTTGTATTTCTGCAAGTATCAATATTGTATTTCAGTAACGAAAAGTTCCAGAATTAAGCATCAATTGTATTTCGAAAAAGTTTCCAGCCAGGAATGTCCGCTATTATTATTCCATCACAAGTGATACCTAACAGTCAAGACGAACAAGCGCAGTCAGCACATCCTATTGTTGTCAACTTCGGAAATTGTCGAACACCTATCTACCAAAACTCGTTTGACTATATATAGGTATAACGGCAAAGCTTTGGATATTTATTTTTAAGGTCATATATTATCCCTAACAACTTATAACCTTCAAAAGTTTAACAAATTCAATACCTCCCCCTATCCTGTTCAGGTACACACGATATTCCAAGAACATAAATAATAGACAAATATTCCATAAATGGCTTCTGATCGTTATTTTTACAGAAGTAGGGAGGTATGTAAGTTTTGTTCATTCTTGCAAGATGCAAGCAAGCATTGCATTTTTTACTAGAAGTAGTCATATGGCGCAGGCGCAGGGCATCACCCCAGACAACCATTGACATTTCATTAAATATCGTTATCTTCACGTCAGCAGTAGATGCGTATGGCGTACTAAAATTAATTCAAAATGAACACCCATCACATTGACGTGATCTTCAGACGTCATCGATACGTCATTTCACTATCATAGAAGTAACTCAATACTCCTCCTAATGACGTATAATTGAAGTCATAGTGATTTCGTGTCACGTCATTGAAACATATGGGTCATTCTCCATAGTCACAGTGGAGTCACTTATTGATAATGTTACGTTACTGACCAAGTTTCATATTGGTGTCTTCTAATTTTATGGCAAATGGACCTAAATTTATATTTTTCAGTAATCATAATGAATAATGCAACTTATGGAAATGCTATGAATCTGTCAATAAAAATCAACAGTTGCAAGTAGTTGTCGATATTTACACATGCTTACAAGTGACTCTTCGGAATATGTTGAACCAGTCATGAATTAGTTATCTGTTGTTCCTCAAAATTGAATTTGTATATGAGGTGAATGATTTATAATAGTGCAATGATCTGAACCTTTAATCTATGTCTGAGCTATCGTTGAATGTTTCATGAAAATTCAACTGAATAATGCCGTTCAAACTACGAGTGGTAAAAATAACTAAACACTGGGCATACTGGCATAGTTGCAAAGGGATGAATAAGGTTAATCCTGTTCTTATCTTCAAATATAGAAAACATATATGACCTTCAGCTGAAAGGATGTCTATCCCATACATATATAGGAAACCATTAAACCAGAAAATGCGGCGATATGAAGTTATCAGTTCATATAAACAAAGATTATATACTGTACGTTGATGTAATCACTATAAACAAAACTGAATTATAAAAATAATCAACAAAATTAATAATCCTCATGTTTTAATAAATTTACCAAGAATAAGGAAACAGTTAGTATACTCATAGATACAAATTATTTTTTTCTGTGACGGGAAAAAAGTTTGGCATTTCATATTTGTTGGCAGGTTATAAAATTTCACTTTTCATAAGTTACTTTTTTCCCGTTGGAGAAAAGTGAGTACTTTTATACACTGTTGATGGCTTTTGTTAAATGTGCTATATTTCCGAAAAATGAGTCGATAATACCATATCCGAGAAAGAACTGCGAGTCCTTTTATCTTCCGTTCGACTTCCCGGTTACGTATATTGCTAAACAACCACTAAATTCGCAATTTTTTGAAATCAAAACACGGAATTAGACTGACAGAAGTGACATCAGATATTTGATTACTTCAAAAGAATGATAAAGATGCCTACAACGTAGGTGTCCCTACTGTTAAAAACTTGTAATGTAATATCTTCTCAATATAGATTCGTCCTGTCACAGAAAAAAAATAGTGTATTATACACGGGAAAAATATAAGGTTTTAGCCCACGGTTTTTTGTCTCCCTCCGATACGCGTCGGGAGCTAAAATCTACTACTTTTTTCCCTTGTATAATAAATAACTATAACACTTTGATACACTTCAAGGGCATTATTCGGACGATCGAATGACAACGCATGCGCATGCTGCAAAGTTTTAGGATTACAGAAGTCTTTCTGCAATCGGCCCCGAGACTTAGACTGATTTTTATTCATCATCATTCTACATATCACTCAATCGCGATCTACGATCACCATATACTTCAGTCAATGAACGCCCAATATGGGGGTGTAGAGGACATGAAAGAGAACAATTTTTTTGAGACATGGAATATGTTCGGAATAGATCGGAAATGAAAATTCCGAAATTCCCTGAACTTGAAAGGTGGGCCAAGTGTATAGGGGGCGACGTAGAAGGTCCCTTTTTTATTTCCTATCTACTTCAAACTCATCCCTAGTCCCAAAAAAACTGTTCTCTCTCATGTCATCTACAGTCTACAACCGGCGACTTTTGGAATTTTTTCTTCCTATCTCCTCCGAACTTATTCCTAGTCTCAAAAACACTGTCCTCTTTCATGCCCTCTACAACCCGTTTATTGACTGAACTAATTATCCAGATTTCCCTTGGTCATTAACGATGAATGAATGAATCATTCACTCGAATTCGAATTACCTGTGCCTGGTTGAGCCGGGGACTTTCGGAATTATCACTTCCTATCTACTCCCATTATATCCCTAGCCTCAATGAAGAACTGCCCTCTTTTCATGTTCTCTGCAACCCGTTCATTGACTGAACTAATATTCCAGACTCCCCTTAGCCATTAACGATTCAGAATGAATCAATCACTCAAATTACTTGTTCCTTGTTGAGCCGGAGCACCTTGTAAGAGGGGACTTTTGGAATTTTTACTTCCTATCTACTCCGAACTTATCCCTAGTCTCAGAAAAACTGTTTTCTTTCATGTCCTCTACAACCCGTTCTTTGACTAAACTAATTAATTATTAAGAATCCCCTTAGCCATTAACGATGAAAGAATAAATCAATCACTCGAATTACGTGTTCCTGGTTGAGCCGGAGCCCTTGTAAGTTCGGGGATTTTTGGAATTTTTACTTCCTATCTACTCCAAACTTATCCCAAGTTCAGAAAATACTGTCCTATTTCATGTCCTCTACAACCCGTCCTTTGACTGAATTAATTATCCAGATTCCCCTTAGCCATCAACGATGAAAGAATAAATCAATCATTCGAATTACCTGTTCCTGGTTGAGCCGGAGCACCTTGTAAGTTCGGGGACTTTCGGAATTTTTACTTCATATCTACTCCGAATTTATTCCTAGTCTCAAAAAAAACTGTCCTCTTTCATGTCCTCTACAACCCGTTCTTTGACTGGACTAATTATCCAGATTCTCCTTAGCCCAGATGAAAGAATAAATCAATCACTTGAATTACCTGCACCTGGTTGAGCCGGAAAACCTTGTAAGTTCGGGAACATTTGGAATTTTTACTTCCTATCCGATTATATCCCTAGTTTAAAAAAATGTCCTTTTTCATGTCTGCAACCCGTTCATTGAATTAATATTCCAGATTCCCCTTAGCCATAAACGATTCCCAATAAATCAGTCACCCAAATTACCTGTTCCTGGTTTAGTCTGTGCACCTTGTGAGTTCGGGGACTTTTGGAATTTTCACTTCCTATCTACCCCGATTAAATCCCTGGAAACAACTGCCCTTAGCCCTCAACGATTCCCAATAAAGTAGGGTTGCCATCCGTCTCGATTTACCCGGACTTGTCCGGATTTTAGTGGCGCTCGGGGACGTCCGGGCGGGTTTTGAAGAATTGTCCGGATATTCGTCAGGTCACACCACTGACATAAAATACTATCATATGTCAGTGAAAGTTGTCTCAGAAATTACAAATTTTAAGATTTGGTATTATTTATGTGACTCAGTTTTGTTCCAAACTGTTAATTGAGAATTTAATTTCCGTTTCTAAAATATTTTTGAGTTTTTATCCGGTACATCGTACTGCACCATTCACTTCGAATTACAAAAAATGATTCGTGTTTTCAAAATGCAAGCTGTCCGTATTCTCAAGTGGCCTTTTCCTGGTTCTCATATTTTAGTAATGGCAACCCTAATTAAATCAATCACTCTAATTACCTGTTCCTGGTTGAGCCTGAGCACCTTCTTCAAGTAGGTCTCCGTCTGCTTCCCCGACAGGAAATAGGCGATCAAGAGCGCGTGGTAGGTCGAGTAGGGCGAGAAGAACAGGTTCTCGCCGGGCATCACCTTGTTGATGGCGTTCAGCAGGGCCAGCGAGAACTCCTGCTGCCCCGAATAGAGGTCCGCATGCGCGTGCCTGTTGGGCTGGTTGCCCTCGAAGGGCGGGAAGCACTGCGGGCGGGTGGGCTGCCAAAGGGCGGCCAGGAACAGCACCGACGCGGTCGCGGAGGTTATCTTCATCGCTTGGCTCTTATCTCTGCAACGTTACGAAAGTTGGTACGGTGATCGAGAGCCGGTCAAAGTCGGTGAAACACTGCGGATTGGAGGTTGCGGAGAAAGTTTTAGCAGTCGACCTACATGGGGAACGGATACTTTCTCGAAATCATATCGATGACGTATGAGGGAATTTTTTGGCGAAGAACGCAATACGTTCCGGCAAAGATGTTGACATTTGTTGTGGACTGGTTTCTTGAGCGATGATGTACATACCTACCTTCAGGGTAACAATTAATCAATTAGTATAGCAGTTATGTATAGACTTGAAGGTTATTCAAATATTGGTTTTGTCATGCCGCTTTTCTGTCCTGAAAAGTTTGTGCAGACTGCATACATATGAATTTATGAACACGTCATAAACATCTGAGATCTCGAGGACGTCAGCACTGATTTGTTTCTTTGTTCGAGCTGAAGCAAGCGGGATAGACATAGACGGTAATAGATTTCTATTGCTTGGGGCGTTTTTTGTCGTTGTTCAACTTTTGAAAAGGTTACAATAATCCTGCTCAAACTACCCCTGTTCATGCTACCTGCTTCCTAGGGGTTGAAAAGGCAGCATTGGTGATCGTCTACAGCTTGAATTCCATAATAAAAGTTATTAGCAGCAATAACCTATTATTTTTAGTTACTATTATTATATTTTCCTAGTCTTTAGGTACGAAACGTCATATACCTACTTATCATGTGAAATAAGCATATACTGATTCAGTGATTTTGAAATTCCACCTTGACCTGAAACTTGATGGGAGATATTTAGTTAGATTCGCATTGCAAGTGCAATATTATTATAGATGACTCATTTACTGACACCAAATCCGGTTAACATCCAGGAAAAAACCCTATACCTACTACAGAGTTTGTTATAAAACCAGCCTACACATAATATGATACTCTAAACAGATTATTGTTGATTGTTAGTGATCTAGGAGATTATTAAAGCTTCACTAATAGGCTTAATCTAATGAGGCCAAGAGTTTTACATGAAGTGCAGATGTTACTAACTTCACGAAAACCTACTTTTAATATTCCTCAGATTCGAACAATTCGATTAAAGCAAACTTAGCTCCAGTACAGTCGTCTTCAGAGATCATGTCGCGGTTGGACGGTGTCAGCGCTCTTATTGCAGAAGTTATTAAAAATGCTACCATCGTCCATGTGCGACATATTTTCTGAAGACGACTGTACGTACAGAAGTTGCTTATATACTTTGGGCGCTAGATGATTCAGAAGTAACAGTTTTCAAATCGTGTATTTTTCAACTTCGAAACAGCTCATGAGATTTCACTGATATTTGGTACGTTGACAAAGCTTTATGGGTCATAAAATTCCAGTAAAACTCATATGTTGTGTCATAATCATGATGAATACCAATCATTCTATAGTCGTGGAACATGATTTTTTCAGTGAATATAAACATCCAAAATTTCATCCCAATCGCAATCATTTATTACATACCTATATAGGTACTATGCATATGATTTCGACAAGATTTGAATTTTAGTTTTTCTGATCATGTGATGTAAACATTGAAACGATCAACATCATCAGATACATCATAAATATTGTTCTACATTTTCACCATTTACAAGTTTATACAAGGAATTTTATACAAGGAAAAAATTTATGGTATTGGTACCTATTTTTTTATTATCTACTATCTATCTAACAAGTACGGAGATAAGTTTGTGAATTCTTTGGCGAAAAAGCAGAAGTAGAATTATTTGAAGAAGTTGAGCAGAGTAGCATACCCCCATACCCGTTTTGCAGTTTCATTCGATGTAGTAGGTACTTTTGAGTTTTGGTATGTCCATATATACAGGGTGTTAACAAATGAGTGTCACAACGGAAAACTGTAGATTGCTCATTAAAAAAGAAACATTTTTTTCCCTTTCGAAATTTGTCTCCGGGCTTCCGTTATCAAGATACAGGGCGTCAAAAAAATACAAAAAAATCTGTTTTTTGCTACTATCTCAGGAACCGTCTGAGCTACGGAGTTGAGCCTTCGTACATACTTCATCATCAATAATGACTACTTTTAGGGCTCTTAATCAATTTCCGTGGACATGTCTGTGGAGGAGAATTCAACGCCTCGTAAGGGTTTAACCCCCCAAACATTTATGCCACTGGAGAAATTGTAATTTCCGAAGTAGATTCTGAAACGCCAATATCTTTCACACAAAAAACGTCCTCTTGTCTCAATGCTCTAAAGTCAATAGTTTCCGAGAAAAATGGATCTTTATGAATAAAAACATACAAAATCCTGATGGTATCTCCAAAAATCGTCTAAAAATCTACTGGAAATAAAAACCTCAGAACTGTCTAATAATATGTTAAATCAAATTTCAGGTTCTTGAGTATGCTGGTCTCGGTGTTGTAAAGTGTGTTTAATTAATCTGAACATTTTTGATTTCTTGACGCCCTGTATCTTGAAAACGAAAGCTCGGAGAAAAATTTTGAAGAGGAAATAAATGTTTCTGTCATCATGAGGAATCTACAGTTTTCCGTTGTGACACTTATTTGTTAACACCCTGTATATGGTGTCTTAGAGAGGGTAATACCGTGTTGAAGCCGAGGTTGAAGCTTGTGAATGAATGCTTTGTTGGTTTGCTGAGATTGAGATTAGTTGTGAAACACTCAGTCTATTGAACAACAATACTCTGTGTCTCATACTTATTACTTGGGCAATAAATATTGGAAATCAGTTGATAAGAATCATCGATATCAGGAAACAAGTTTGAATTAAAATTTTTCATCCTGTATTTCAATTAGAGGCGAATGTTTTAGAACGTCTCGAGTTAATAGTCTAATATAAATAATGGATATCGAGAAGGCCGTTTCTCAATATACTGAATCGAATGGGCCATGGTCTTAGTAACCATTGTTGATTTTTTTCACTGAAATGAGATTTTGTCCTATTTTCTTATCATCCTGTATATTCCACAATAGTGCGTTTTTCGCCTTCCATTGTCCCCCACAAAAAATTAAAACAGTTCTTTCCAATAGTCAGCTCAAGTAGAGTTCTAAAGAAAAATTTCAAGAAATGCAAGACTTTAAAAAAAATCGAATTTTTGTTCCAATGGGCAATTAAGGAGAAATCACGAAAACGTCCCGAGATGAGGTGTCAGTGTATCATGATATGACTGATTTTTGATCAGAAAAAAATTTCTCGAGTTCTGCCAGCATTGGAAATGTAGACCATAGTGTAATGGTTCCACTTTACACCCTGTGTAAGTTTTGTTATGCGTACTTTTTCAGAGTGTACTAGCTCTCTTTGAAGACGATGAAACATCTTGTCAGATTTCGAAAACCGCATGAAGACCGATCAATTTTTTCAAAAAATACAGGTCTTCGAAATAGAGTCAAATTATGAGTGGTCCATTTAGTGTGTTGAGAACTGTATATCAAGCACATGCTGGATACAAGGTGAGTCATCGTAATAATGATACTACGGAGTGGTATCATGGTTATTCTAAACAGAGATCTGAATACTTTTGATAATTCAACGAAAAAATTGAAATGATTTCTCAATCGGGTATTATAGTTTCAACTGTTTGAAATCGAACACGACTTTATAATTTCTACCGCGACATGGTGCCTGAAGACGACTGTACTTAAAAATTAAAACTGATTCCAACAAGGAATGTAAGCTCGTAAAAAATATCGCAAACATTAGTACGACTGCATTGTGTGTTATCTTCGTAAGTATTTGAAGGAAAAGGCGATAAGTGTAATAACTATTCCTAAAATGATTTATTCAAATCAATTCAATTCCAACAACCATAAAACCTAGGGCTCGATCTAGGGTGTAGTTATTCCATTTTTCTGCGGAATACTGCCCGAGAATACAATATTTGCATATTGTATGAATATACTTCACAAACATGGAATGGAACCTTGCTTGTGAAATATAAACTGATCGAAAGAAGTTAAAGATAGTGTGTTCTTGCTATGAAGACATTTTTCCAGAAAGCATGAGGTATAGTTACTAATGCCAATGTTGTTTGCGTTTAAAAATATCATTAATTTCTTTCGACCAGCAGTTTATATACGCGTATCCCAGCGAGCACAAAAACATATCAGAGATGTTAAAAGTACGAGACTTCGAGACATAATCAAAACTTTCAATCAGCCCCTTCGATGACGTTTCAGAAATAGAGTACCTACCGTTTAGTGGCATTTCATTTTTTTTTCGTTATTTTTAACGTTTTACCTATATCCTTGAGTGCATAATAGTTATTTATGTATCAAGGGAATTATGAGGGCCTTAATTACCGATGGCAAAGTTTGCGTCCCGAGGGCCTCTGGCCCGAGGGACAGCAATTGCCAGAGGTTATTGAGGCTCTATAATTCCCGTGATACATAGATAATTTTATTTCTGACTGATTTCATTCATTAGATACCTTCCCGATTGGAAGTTAGACATGTTTTTCCGTATAGTTTCAATGTCATCAGAACGTCAGATGATGATCTTGACTACCGCGAATAGGAGATTGCTTATTGCTACGTTATTGCGTGGTTGTTGCTATGCATTTCTTATTTAATTTTAGCTAGAGGGAATTATAGCATCTATAACATCCCAAGGGAGTTATGACCCTCCTAATTGATAGTGTAACTAAGATGATATAAGCTTATAATATACCAGTCAGGAATAAAATAGTATATACACCTCAGGACTGGTATAAACCTCCTGTTGGTCGGGATATGAACTTTTTGTCTATGGATTCCCTAGGTGTATAATGTACTATTATATGTTAAACATTATTTTTCGCAGTCATATAAAAATTATTTAATCATCCTAGAATAAATAGTTTTGCTATAACAATGAAAATTTTGAAAAAAATGATACTTAGTAGAAATTTATTTTCGTAAGACATAGGTATGTATATGTCATTATTTATAGTCATTTTCGTTAGAACGTGGCATGCAGAGGAGTGGAATTATCGGTTATAATTGCACAAGTGCGCCCGAGTCCGAATCGAATGCAATTTGTACAAGCAGATAACACGCTTGAATGCAAAATTATCAGGTCATTTTTATGCACGAACCTAATTTATCGGAATATATCACGGAATAAAGAAATTCTCGAAGAAATGTTGTTTTTTTTTGTATGCAGCCCTCACCAAAACGCAACATTTTTTCCACTTTTTGAAATCTGACATTCATTTGTTATGTTTACTGGCGTCTATTACGACACGGTTTCAAATGTGTTGCTATGGCGACAGGATGTTTTCGCAGTGCAATCTTCGTTCTGCAGTGCAATTACCGCTGTAATTTTTCGATAATTGCATTGATCTTATATGAGACATTTCATATATGAGGGACATATTCGGGGTAACTCAGGTACCAAACACTGAAATGAGTATGTGATATATGGGTCTTTTCAGGAAAAAGGCAAAGTTGGCCGTGACGACGGCATACACCGAATAACCATCAAATGCAACGATACGACTTATGTATTATATGTATATCTCAGTTAATCTGTGTCTCAGTACACCCCATGTTGGTATAATGAATTCTTATACTATATGCTCTTATGCTTGTTGAAAATAGTACAAGCAGCATACCTATATATGTTCGGAGTTCACCGTCATCAACAGTTTGTTTTTTGAAAGGTGCCGATTTTAATTATTCAAAAAATGTGTTACGGATTATCATTATACATAGGTATACAAAGAAAAAATGTATCACATACTATTTTGACGTGAATTCGACTAGTATGCACGACTCCGCATTGTACACTTGTCATACACAATTTAAATCTTTTCAATAAATTGGAATCAAGCTAGCAGCTATAGGGTCATCCAGTAATCAACAGATAAAGAAGAATCACAGGGCTAGTCATTTGGGCTGCGTGCTTATTGTATATCCTGATTATACTATGTAGAGTAGAAGTAAGTAAAAGCATGTAAAAGTACCAATAACCTATATCCGTTATATTCACACAAAAATGATTTTACTTTAAGATGACAGTAAAAAAAGAAAACCACCTTCAAGTCACCTTAGTGATCACTTCCGTGTGTAAACACAAACACGTACGAGAAAATCGGTTGAAAAGACTCTTCCACACTTCAACTACCAACATCAAGCACCAAGAATTATTGCCAACTGGTTACCTGTGTACACTAAACAGGTTTATATGATGACGAACCAAAACAAACCGTGCATTGAATTTATTTCGATTTCAATAGAAGTAGGAGAATGAAGGAGTGAGTAATCAAGAACCGATCATGAATTATTAATTAGCACTAGTACTATCTAGTGTACAGGTACCAAATATAAAGGCCACAGGGTGTCCCCAAAAGTCTTTACATAAATTTACCACAAATTCCTCAGACCAAAACAATCCGATAACAAGCAAACTCACCTAAAAAGTTGTTTAGTTTGGGCGCTAGACGGCTCTGAAGTTACAATTTTTGAATCGATTTTGCATCATAACTTCGAAACGGCTCATGAGATTCAACTCAAATTTGGTAAGTAAGCATATAGCTTTATTGAGTTATTCGAATTCAATCAAGAGTACCTTTTGTAGTAAACAAATCACGCAATCTGAATTTCATGATTTAAAAACACCTTCTTTCCATTGCCGTAGAAGTTACAGATGTTTATTTACAGAAAAAATCAAGTTCTGAGCCCATGAAATGATAGTCATCATAAACATGATATGGGTTTCATTGCCCAATAAAACTATGCCAAAACATACTGAATTTGAGTCAAATCTCATTAGCCGTTCCAGAGTTACGAAGCAGAAACAATTTGAAAATTATAACTCCAGAGCCATATCTAGCTCCCAAGCTAAGGATATTTGCACTGCGAGATTAGTTTGTAAAGACCTTTTAGGGACACCCCATCACTCGATTTAGCAAGGAACTACTAATTATTTTCACTCAACTTAATCGTTCATAGCCCGATGACGAAATAATAACTTCTGTGGCTGGTCAGTATTTTCAATTTCTTTTGGACAATACGGGGGAAATCTGAATGAAGTAATATTAATTTCGCGTATTCGCGGAAAGGAGGAACAATAGAAATAAAAATATTGGTGGAGAAATTTCAAGGATGAGAAATGTCAAATTACATCTCGTGAAGAAATACTTATCACTCACCCTGTGTATTATAAATTATGTGAATCATGTATAGGAATCTTTAGTAATTCGAGCGAGAAAACAATATGATTAGACTATCAGTGAATTCGATGCATGTCAGGTCAGAGCTGACGACTACACTGTATCTGCATCGGTATTCACTAGAATACTGCAGCACTGCAGCGGCCATCGCATATCATACCGTGATGCGAGTGCGACCGTTTTACTCCTATCCTATCCCAGAAAGTGCCTAACGGGCCTGTATAATCGTTATCAGAAAGAAAAATAATACTATTGAAGAAGACGAATGTTTGTTTCAACTAATTCAATTGGTTTCACTCACTGCCATATATGTTTGTTGACAGTATGTACATACGTGAAAACACAGTTTATAATTTATTTTGTATCTCAGTTCCCAAATGTATATCTTTTGTATTGTATTCTACATTCATTATTTATACTCTGCTGATTGCATTACATAAACATTTATAATCCCGATATTGATATAGTCTAACCGCGAAATAGAAGAAATGTTCATCATGAATTATTATTGTCCTTCCTTTTATCTCTTACTTCTTTGGGAGATTAAAGCAGGAAAGGATTTTCCCAACCTCCAACGTTGTTGCCGTTCTTGGAGTTTTAGCAGAGGATTCCCTTGTGTATTTGCAGGTCCTTCCATGCTATACATACAGGGTGATTTTCGTAGGCCAAACATTAGAAGTTTTTTAATTTGCAGTTGGATTAAAACATGAACATTGGTATGCTGTTATGTTACTATTCTTTGCTGTTATGATCGATCATTTCCATGGGCGCCGCCAGCAACTAATTCAGGAGGGGAGTCGATTTCTTCAAATTGGAAGCATAGCCGTCAATCAAGGTTCTAAAGTATCATGATATAAATATAAAAATTTCGGATATGGGTGTTTCGTAATATGTGAGACGCACTTCGAGTGATAGGGCGTGTCAAGAAAATAAAATACTGAAAAAGTTCCCATGAACAAAAGTCGTAGAAGGCTACGTTTGCGATATATAGGGCGTTGAAGTTGCAGATAAAAATTAATTTTCATTAAATTTCTATACAGGGTATTTATTAAATACTTGTAGACAATTCAGGAGCATGTTGCTGACGTCAAAATGAGAATTAAACTTCGTATTGATATATGTCCGAAAGTTATTCGTTTCTGAGATACAGAGTATCAAAAGTTGAATTTTTATTTTTGTTTTTTGTTAATACATTTTAAAATAATAATGATATTGGAATAAAATTTGGTATCTAGGGATATTTTCCAATGACAATATCAAATTTTATGTTAGTTTGTCTCTTTCGTGGGGGTGGTGCCAACTACATGACTTTTGAGTCTTTTGTAAAGTCATACTTTTTTGTGCGTACCTGTATAACGTATCATTTCAGACAAATAGATTTCTAGAACACTTTTGTATAGAGAATATATTCTTGGTAGAGGTCGCTGCGAGCAACTGTTTTCGAGTTATTGGGATTCGAGATAATCGATGCATTTGAATTATTATTTCCATATGGCTCGTAAGTCGCCTGTAGTGAATATCAGAATAGATACGCCTGTGCATTTTTTCATGCAATATTTTCCCATTCAACATTGGAATGTAGGCAAAATATGACTCTCGATCACTTCTTTGTATCTACTTTTTTGGACTCTTTCAATCAAAAAAAAATTACTATCAAGCTAATACTCTTGTCATGTTATATCGAAACGTTCTTGTTTTTGAAGTTTTTGGTTTTCAACATGTGTCTGAAGTCACCAAACACACAGTGACTTCGGACACTTTTCAAATAAAAAGATTAAAATATTTCCTAAAAAAAATGATTTTTAAAAAATTCGTGGAAAAAACTGTAAAAAATGTCCGAAGTCATCTCATTTGAGGGTACTTCAAATCCTGTATGTCAATCAAAATAGTATGGAATTTTATTTATGCATAATAGTCCTTTTAGTGATTTAGTGTGCCTTCACACTGTGGTATTATTTTGTACAGACCTATAAGTGACACCCTGTATAAATATAGCCATTACAAATACGGTTATTTCATGGATATTTTAAGGTGATGTAAAACTGTCAACCCTTATCACAGGACTGATAATTTGTTCTCCAATGCAACACCTCTAAATTCTCTACATGTATTTAAAAGAAATACACATGACTTCCATGCTTTACTCGTGTATAATGCAAATAATTACTATGGGATTTTTTTTCAATACCAACCGGAAACAATAGAAGTCTGTCTGATAGTGGTTGAGTGTTGAGTTTAATAACATGAATAATCAGGTTTTAAAATAAGCGTGAAATTTTAAACAAAGCTATTTCAATATTCGAGGTGGTAATTATTATTTTTATGCACCTCGAATAATGCCAAATGATTCAGTTTTCTGTTTTTCCCAATGCCCATACGTGTTGGGGCGTTGAAAATAATTGATTCTTGGAAATAACATGACGATTTGATTTTTTATAAAAATATATTGTTTTATGAAAAATATGGCACTAGGATACAGGCAATGTTATTAGGCATATTATTTACATTTTTATATACTTATTAAAAAATATGGCACATTTGATTCACATGATGTATCTATAAAAAGTTGTTATATTGGTCCTTACACAGGGTGAGTCATTAGTGTGGCAAAGTGAGATAACGGCATTACTGTTTGAGATAGATGAACAAAAAAATTCAGAGAAGATCTAGGATCATGAGCAGCACATTTCCAAATTATTTCGCTTCATACAGGGTAGCTCAGAAATGCGTGGCTTATCAAATTTATACTTCTTCTTATGGGACACCCTGTATTTTATTGCATTTTCGCATTCTCCTTCATGAGCAGATTTCATCAATGCATCATACTTGAGGTCTAGCGAGAATGATTACAGAGATATAGGGTGTTCAAATTCGAGATTTTTCAATTTCAGGATTTTTTGCTTCGAAACTATTCATTATTGGTCAAAACGACTTTTATGTCTCTATCCTATCTTTTGATTTATTATCTACTGACATTTAATTGGAACAAGTACAGGGTGGTTCAAAATTCAGCATTCTGATAAACCGCTTTTGTATCTGTTCCAATAAAATAAATTGTTACGACGCAACATATCCTAAAGTTGAAGAATCTCTATTTTGACCACCCCATATCTCTTTAATCATTGATGAAATCAGCTCACAAAGGAGAATAATGGAATACAGTGTCCCATAAGAAAAAGTATGACTTTGATACGCCACGCATTTCTGGGTCATCCTGTATAAAGCGAAATAATTAGGAAATGTGCTGCTCATGATCCTAGATCATCTCTGAAATTTTTGTTCATATTTCTTAAACAGTAAAGCCGTTATTTCACTTTGCCACACTAATGACTCACCCTGTAGATATAACTATTTTCATAAACTATGTACACCTCTCTTTCTAATATATATGTAGATAATACTGTACAGATACTGAACACTAAACATTTCTTTCAAATAACACGTTCAAATTTAAATCGGTAAAATTTTATTCTATTTAATAAAATACCTACCCCTACCGGCCCTACCCCAGCGATAAATTTTGGAAATTGAATCCACTCGCTGTATAGGTAAGTACTAAACATTCCCTATATTTTGAAATACCCTAGTACTCCGAATACAGTGTATCCCACTTACCATGCTCACCATGGGTATCTTTTTAACGGTAAGAGATACGAGGTCGGTTAAATGAAACCAAATGTGGAGTTTGTCAAGGCCAACTATAATGTGTAAAAATATTTTGATAAAATCTATTCGTTTTTGTTTTATACGCAAAAACAGATTTTGATCATTTTCATGTCTCCTCCGTAACTTTTTTATTTATAAAAATATCCAAATAGGAATTTCACATTCCCATGGCAGTTTTTCAAAGTGATTTCGAAAAAAATATGAAATTTAAACCAACTCTTCTAGAATTTGAGATATCAGCACCAACTTTAGTTTTTCAAATGTAGGTCATAGCTTACTATGACTTAGTTACAAATAACTTTGTTTTCTCTTACAGATGATATGTCGCAGTAATAGTTTTGTGTTGATAACAACGAAGTTATCGTCATTTATACAAAAACAAAAAATTATTTGGAAGCCGCCATCTTGAGTTTATAAATTTTAACAAAAAAATCATGATCTCCGACCTCAAAAACCCCCACTTACCAATTTTGAATGGAATCGGACCAAATCTTGTCCGCCATCTTGGAGCAGCCTTTTTTTTTTAATTTCAACAAAAATTCCATAATGCATTGTCATTCAGAATTGGTGAGTGGGGGTTTTTGAGGTCGTAGATCATGGATTTTTTTGTTCAAATTTATAAATTCAAGATGGTGGCTTCCAAATGATTTTTTGTTTTTGTATAAATGACGAAAACTCCGTTGTTATCAACACAAAACTATTACTGCGACATATCATCTGTAGGAGAAAAAAAAGATATTTGTAATTAAGTCATAGTGAGGTATGACCTACATTTGAAAAACTAAAGTTGGTGCTGATATCTCAAATTCTAGAAGAGTTGGTATAAATTTCATATTTTTTTCGAAATCACTTTGAAAAACTGCCATGAGAATGTGAAATTCCTATTTGAATATTTTCATAAATAAAGAGGTTACGGAGGGGACATGAAAATGATCAAAATCTGTTTTTTGCGTATAAAACAAAAACGAATAGATTTTATCAAAATATTTTTCCACATTATAGTTGGCCTTGACAAATTCCACATTTGGTGTCATTCAACCGACCTCGTATCTCTCACCGTTAAAAAGATACTCATGGTGAGCATGGTAAGTGGGACACACTGTATACACAGGAATAAACAGTATGAAAAATACACTGCATATATATAGCAAATGAATAGTCCATAACTTATTCAAATTTGAACAGGTTATACATATCTACCTATGATTATATACAAAACACGGCTGAATTTGAATCTTACAAATTTTTCTCTGCTTATACCATATTCAAACTATCATGATATACCCTCACAGTGAACAGAGGTTTATTAGGAAAAAAGTTTCATTTCTTGATTGAGCTGAGTTCCACTCAACCATTGACTAGAACATTATTGTTATAGCATAGTGTACCTATTGAAAAAAAAGGAACAGGTACCTATTTTTCAGAAACAACTAACAAATAATAATAACCCCTCTGTAGTTCAATAAGGTGAAGTTTTGGAGACTGTGGTTGAATAATTAAATAGAAAAATACCACAATAATATTAATATTCAGAAAAGCCAAAATTCGTCATCCTCAGCAGAAGTGTAGAAAAAATTAAGATTACACTCTTATACATGAAGAAGCCTTAAATTATCTGAAGTGATGGTGTGAATATGTTGAACAACATTAGAGTCATCACCGATTTTATTATTTTGCTTCATATCGTGTTTATCCAATATATTTCACGGTAATGTCGAGGTTAAAGTCATTAAATTAATTTTATAAATACCTGACTTATCAATGGTAGGTATATAATCATATTTCATCCTTAGGATTTCCCTGCAGAAGACTTTTTGCAGTGAGTTACATTTCTTGTGACTTGGGCATCAAATGAAATCTTCATACATCTCTTATTAAATGAGGTTTGTAGTTTAAAATCAATTGAAAACGTTTGAACTTTGACATAACAGTTCTAGATATACATGTATGGTGGAAAAAAGAGTAGAAGCCTGGTTTTTGAATAGAATGTCCTGGTTGTGATTTTACATTAATTTTTTTTTAAATTATTATTACATACATATAAGTCTCTACATCGATTACCCAAATTTTTTGGTGTTTCGAAATATTAAGAAATTTTATTCCCAAGCTTATTTCGGCTTTTAATTATCTCCCTTTTAGTTTGGATAGTTCATTTTTAGTCTGTTCAGATGCATGCAATAGGTAGATAGATGAATATTTCGAATAATTCATACCATATAATATGTTAATTTTCGTTGTTTGTTGTTTGACATCACTGTGTATAATAGTATACCTATTATGAATAGCATTCATATTCAGATTCAGATTCAGATCCACTGTTGAGAATACTTTGAATGAAAATGAATCAATAATAGTAGATTGTTTTATTAGGATCAAAAGTGACACTTTGTTTGACAAGCGAATTTTGCATTTGCGAGGCGGAGCGTTCAGCGAAGCCGAGCGAAAGCGAAATTTGCGAGTCGAACAAAGTCACTTTTGATCCGAATGAAACATGCTATTTTTTCTGCAACCGAAACAATTAACTCAAATAAACATGTGAAGCAACCATACCAATGCCGTGCCATATGTATGCAATGCAACAAATATTGACAAATAATCCATGTGGTGAGAATATTCTACTTGCATTAACAGCAGGTTAGGTTTTCTAGGAGGTTCGAATTGTAGTTTCGATATAAATACAACCACAGAGTGACATATTTGTGTATGGACCAGGTGCTCTAATGGCAAATACCGCGCCATTGCCAGCTATAGGAACAAGACGTGGAAAATGTTAGGTTAGTGAGCATATCAACAATGATAATAGTGATTATTTATTCCTCTCTTTTCTCCATACTGGCATACTACACTGTGTTTGACTTGATGATCAAATATGAAGCTAAACCATATCGTTGTTTGAGACAAAAAAACTATTGCTTGCCGTGATTATTCAAAAACAAGTTATCCATCCCGAGAATAACGAATGAAATACAGATCAAGCAAGTATTTGAATCTTGAAGGCTACCCCGATCAAAACAAAAATACTTAGCTGAGATGTTTATAATTCCAATACTGAACTATAATAAGGTGTATTTATATCTCCAGCATGGGTATGAAATGCCAAATCTGCTAAAATCGGACAGGTATGCGTCTCAACCCAAATAACCAACCGTCACTATATTGTTCATTCTTGATGACGTCCAGTATATCCTTTTTAGTTCCTAGGAGCTAAAGTTCAACTTTAGCTCCTAGGAACTAAACTTCAACTTTAGCTCCTAGGAACTAAATATGTTGCCTAGCAACATACCTATTTTTGTGTCAGTAATAGAAACGTCAATTTAAGAGCTAATTTTGGTATCAAAATGGACGACTTTTGTGTCGGTTGCAGAAAAAATCTATTACTTAGTCAAATATGAGTTTATGTGTAGTTTATAAATCATATCACAAAAAAATCCATTAGGAAAAAAAATTGGTAATTGAATAATTGAACATTGCTTTGTTGTTGATTATTCGTCATGGTTATCTTCTATTTTTGTATCTACGTAAGTAAGAGTGTTCATAAGCATATATAAAAAGCAACTTTTGCTGGTTCATTGTTCTAATAAAACAACAATTCTTCTGTTTACCTACGGCCACTATGGAAAATAGGCAAGAACACACGAGATACAGCCTCAGTAAGTAGCTATTTACTACTACTATCTACTATACTACTATACTATAGGGTGACCTCCGCCTTGGTGTCAGAGTGCATAAATAGCCTACAAAGGCTGTCAGCAACGAACAAAGTATGTCTTTTGTGGGTTCCTGGACACTCAGGGGTAACAGGTAACGAAATGGCCGATGGTCTGGCCAGAAAGGGGGCGAAGGGTTCAGTGATTGGCCCAGAGCCAATCTTAGGGGTCACTCGATCCTGGAGCAACTTTCAGGATGAGGGAAATCCTGACGGAAAGGTTTCAGGACAGCTGGAGAAAGGCTCCTGGAATGAGGCAGTCCAAATTCTATATAGGAAACCCGTCACGAAGACAGACCAATGCCCTCTTGGCTTTGAACATGAAGGAGCTGAAACTGGTGGTTGGCCTTCTGACAGGGCACTGCCACTTGAACAAACATCTCAGCACGATCGGGATTGTGGAGGATCCTGAATGCAGATGGTGCCTAGAGGATGAAGAGACTTCTACTCACATCCTCACTGAATGCCCGGCAGTAGTGGCAGCAAGGGATATCCATTTTGGGTGCAGTATCCTGGACCCAGAGGATGTTAAAAAGATTTGGCCTAGAAAGTTGCTCGCGAGATCGGCCTTCTCCATGGCTGACTTGCGATCCCAGGAATGTTGGTGCACAATGGGCCCGAAAAGGGAGGCCTAAGTGCGTCAGGTCCCGGACCGCCCACACACATACATACATACATACATACATACATACAGTAGCTTTTTACGCACAGTGAGCACATCGCACAGTTTTCGTTTATTCCGCCAGTATATAGGTATGTAATCGCCGTCAAGAGCGGATGACATAACTGTCAAGAATTATAATTCAGACTGTTTGTCCACAAACTTTTTTGATGTACTATATGGCAGTAGGTAAAGTATAGTACGTAATGCGTGTTGTAAAGCAATTACGCATTCATGGAATTTCGCACTCGCCACTCCGCGGCTACCTGGTAACTTTGCCATTCGTGCTTAATATGCTTCTTACAACACATATTACGTAATATACCCACTATTAATTAGATGATTCATTGCTGGGAAGTTTCACACTAAGTTTATGAATGATGCAGTTCCAAAAATAATAAATTCAGATTCCTACATTCAAAAAACAAACCGATATGAGTTTGTACTAATAAAAATATTTTGACTATATTGCTCATACTCAAGGAATATATACAAACAAATCCACTCAAAAATAGTGTCTCTTAACAATTTTGGCTAATTCCGAAAAGGGGGCAACGTCACGTAAGTCTGGTTACCGTTACCATCGGGCTTCAACTCCTTGATCCTACCATCCTCGTGGTACCCCTGATCGTGCTTAGGCGACCCGTGCTCGTACCAATCCGGCGACTGACTCAGCGTGTTGTGATCCACGTACTCTATCTTAACCCCGATGGAATTCTCGTCCGCGCTCGGCGAATGCGTCTGCAGCATGGAATACTCCCGGCCGAGCGGCGGGCTCTGATTGGCGGGAGGCGTGGAGTACTCGTGGCTGCGCATAGGCCCGCTAAACAACTGCGCTTCGTGCGCGTTCAGCGTGTAGGAGTAGTTGTTGGGCGCGGAGCCGAAGCTGGAGTACGAGGCCGGGGACCCGAAGCTGGAGTAGGTTCCTGACGGGTTGTTGAGAAGGCTCAAGTGGGAATTCAGGTCGTAGGAGGGCTGGTAGCTCCAGGAGTCCGCGGGAACTGACGCGGGTAGAGCGTTGGCTTGCGTGAAGGGTATGGGGTTGTTGAAGTTGGTGGTTAGGTTGGAGCTGGAAGATGCTGTGCTGATGAAGCCGGTTTTGCGTGGAGGTTCGCGTTTCCTCCATTTGGCTCGGCGGTTCTGGAACCAGACTTGGACTCGCGACTCGCTGAGGTTGAGTTTGAGGGCGAGCTCTTCTCTGGCGAAGACGTCAGGGTAGGGGGCGCGTTCGAAGGCTCTTTCCAATTCTTCGAGTTGGAATGCTGTGAAAGTTGTTCTGTAACAAAAAGAAAATATCTTGTAATTTTGAACTAGCTGAGAATAGTAATTTACGTAACAAGTTCGGAAAATACTGTTTTTTGGCGAGTAGACAAAATTCTAGGCCGAGTCGTAAGTGAGTCCTAGAAGTCTGCGAGTCCAAAGAAATTGTTTTTGGACGTGTTGCGTTCATAAGTTTTTCGGCAACCATGTAGAATAACAATTCAATGAGACACAATTCCGTATTATATTTCTTTGAGGGATACAATTTCTTCTTTATTGATTCTTATTTATATCAAATACTGAAATTTGAACAGAATACCTATACCTACTAACTGCTACATTCAAAATTTCGTATGGACATTTTCAAACTCCCTATCGTTGCTGCCTTTGATAGTTTATTGCGATAATTGCAACCAAACTTTAAAAAATCCAAATGTCAACTAATTTCATGCCAAATAACTGTCAGCCGATATTTCGCTGCTATGGTAATTATCATCTGCATTTATCAAAACCTCATCTACCACGATTTTTATAGTTACAGTGACAACAACGATGTGATACTTCCCGGACTATAGGCCAGAAAAATGCTACTTTCTCAAAGAAAAAGCATCCGGGAAGAGAGCACTTTGCGGACGGTTGCCAAAAAAATATAAAACAAGTGTTAAAAACTTCTGAAGTACTGGAGGGAGGAAAATGTTTGCAGAATTACAAATGAGCATCACACATAATAATAATTATGTAACATTCCGGAGATAATAGAGAATGACAGCTATTTATGTAACAATACCCATGTTTTCAAAACATTAAATTTTTGGGAAAAGCAAAGTTCTTGCATGAAATATTCACGAATAAGAATCTCTCAATGACAGCTAGTTACAAAAATTGGATTCGATGGAAATGTTTATCTGAATGGGTTTTTTATAGGGTGGTTCCTAATTACGGTTCAAAACTTCGAAGGATGATTTTTTAGGTCGTTTTAAGAAAAAGATATTTTCTTTGACCAGAATTGCTTTGTTTCAAAGATACAAGACTTTGAAGTTGAAAAAAAACAGTACTTATAAAATATCATAAATATCCTTACACAGATTTTTTAGTTGACATTTGGCACAGTTATTTAAGTGGCACTAGATTGAAACAATTAGGTCCAGTGAAATATCAATGGGCACCACATCAGTCAATGAATATTGCGAAGAAAGGTACCTACGCAATCAACTTTCTCGTAGATTTTCATTTTTTTTTATTTGAGCAAGTAAAATACCACTTTTCGGTCTGTTCGTGTTCGAGAAAAAAAATGGAATCTACTATTAATATCCAAAAAACTTCTCGACCTTCTGTCTCGAACTTTTCACTCCTTTTATTTCGAGCTATTAATCAAATTTGACTTAATCAGTTCAGAGGTAGTTTAGAAGGCAACTGAATTAAAATCTGTAACTCTATCTCAGAAACGAACAACAACAACGTACATTGGAAACATTTTTCTCAAAACAACCCAACAAATCATCCTCTGAAGTTTCGTTTCGTAATTATATAGGAAACACCTTGTGTAATTAAGTCGAGCAAATAGGTACGGAATAACCCTATCATTAAGGAGTTCAAAACTTATCAGCTAGAGAAGTTTTTCAACAACATGAAACATGAGGACAAAGCACTAAGTAAAAGGCATACCGCAGTGGGTATAACAATCTATATTATCACCAATTCTCACCAAATTGCTCATGAGTAGGTTCGAGAATGAAGTCAAAAAAGAATTCTAATATTTTGCTAGAGAAATATATAGACGACATTTTCATTATTTTTATTATTTATGATATCAACAAGTGCGCAATCTGGAGAATTTCTTGACTACGGTGAATTCTAGAATCCATTCATCAAATCCATTCATTCAAATCAACGGTAGATTGCTTTTCTTGAATACACTATAGGTATTAAAAATGGCATCTACTAATTGATTCATACAAAGTGATTCACAAAATGGTATACCTATTTCGCATATCGTTTAGGCTTTAAATACTTTGGTCGCTAGGTTATTGTTGTCTAGTCGCCACGTTTTTCCAAAAAAACATTTACAAATTTTCAATCCAAATGAAGTACGAAATAAGTATGCGGGTCTACTTATTTTTTTCACGATCTATGATGCATTCTGTAGATATTTGAAATGATTTCATGGTCGATTAATTCCTATAAGCAGAACCACTTGAACATCCGTCTCGTTTGGGGTAGTAAAAGCGTCAGTTGTCGTTTTCATAGAATCGCACCTTTTGGCTCGTGCATCGAAATTTTCATGGGCCATATGGATGACGACCGTGACATACCGGTGGATGAGTGTACATGAAGGGCCAGATAGGGCATGTATATAGGCATTGCAATATTCATCGTTTTATCTCATATGTGATCTCCTAGCTGACGACACGGATGTAAATTGTAAATTAAAGTATAATCATCGACAGGACCCTCCATACGGGTGAGTACCTTCCTATATACATGTTAAAGGAGGAAGGGCATTATTGTTTTTTTTATACATGGTGTCCGGAAATTATGTGGAAAAAATCAAGAGTGTGATTCTGCATGAGAAAACATGTACTTTATTTCATTTATACGTGGGTCCGGAAATACATAGTATTCAAAATACAGTGTGTTAAACTAAAAAAAAAACGGGTTTTCATGGATATCTCAAATATCCTTCCACTGATTCTCTTGAAATTTGGAAAAGATGTTCTTTGTCATAAGGGGGTGATTTAGCCATGATTGAATTGGAATTGTGAAATCCAGTGGCGTCTTGGTGGCACCCTACCGAATATTTTTGTAAATCAAATGTGCGCCACTGATTTTTTTGAATTCTATATCTTCATATCCTATTGAGGAACTAAAAATACAACATTTTGGTCTCCTGAGCTGTTCTGATATTCAGCTTCGTTTCCGTGGAAAAAAATGAATACCAATTTATTGTATATACATTGGTGCAAAACATTCCTTCAAAAACATAAGTGGAAATACATGTGTGATCCATGTCCATATACATAGAATAAGAATGATCATCCATTATCTTTAAATAAGTCATATATGAAAATACATAGTTCTTAATATACAGAGTGTGTCGAACATGTATTATGAAATATTTGAAGGAAATGAGTCTTCATTCTTATTCTATGTCTATGGACATGGATCACGCATTTATTTTCACCCAAATTTTTGAAGGATTTCTTGGCACAAATTTATGCAATACATTGGTATTTATTTTTTTCGATGGAAATTAAGAAAAATACCAAAAAAACTCGGGAAATCAAAATGTTGTATTTTTAGTTGGTCAATAGCAGGTTGGAAGATACAGAATTCAAAAAAATCAGTGGCGCACATTTTATTGACATTTATATTCGGTAGGTTGTCCCCTAGGACGCCACTGGTTTCCATAATCCCAATTGAATTATGGCTTTATCAGCCCCTCATGACAAAAAATAGTTTTTCCAAATTTCAAGAAGATCGGTGGAAGGACATTTGAGATATCAATAATGAAAAAACGATTTTTAAAGTTCAACACACTGTATGTTTAAAACTATGCATTTCTGGACCAACATACAAGTGAAATGAATTTCTTATTTCATCATGTAGAATCACCCCTTTCATTTTTTGCGCCTAATTTCCGTACACCCTGTATGCAGGATGGGTCATAACTATTTGGGACATAGGCAAAGGGCAAATTGTTTGGACCAAAATATGGTGATAGGACGAAATATGCCTTATTAAAATATTGCAGTGGAAAAAGATACAGGACGTTACAATCGAAACAGTATTGGCTATAAAAAATGCATTCACTGACAAGAATTGTGATTCACCAGCAATAATTATCTGACAGTACAAACCACAGTCTTCATAAATTAAATAATATTTGAAATTCCCTTCCGAGACTTTGAACTGTTCAATTGCGTTTTTCTAGAAAACGGATGAAAATATCGTTTTTGAACAAGAGTACCGATATTACGTAACAATGATGTTTATGTCATATTTTTCAATCAAGATCACGAAAAAAAATTCGTCAATGTAAGTTATTAGTCGTTTTCATCATCAGGAATCATTCACTTGGTGCCCCCTCTAACAAACAAATATCATAAAATAATATTCACTATACAGGGTGTCCAGAAATTGTTGGGACACAGAGCTATCACGTGTAAAGGAGGTCAAAATAAGTTGATTGGACCCAATTTATTTATGTGCCAAAATGTACTTACCGTTTGTCCGTGAGAAGGAATCAAAGTTCACATGAAAAAACACATTTTTGTACGCTGTTCAAAAATAAGTTGAAGTCGCACGGATTCAAATCTGGAGACCGCGGAGGCCATTGAATAGGTGCGTCTTTTCCCCTACCAATCCATCTATCAGGAAACTGTTCGTTCAGATATTGTCTTGCTGCACGTGCAAAATGAGGTGGTGGACCGTCGTGCATGAAGAACATATTTCGACGAACATTGAGGGGCAAGTCCTCTAATAAATATGGCAAAATTTCTTGAAGAAAGTGAAGGTAACCAGCCCCATCAAGGCGATCTGGCAATCGGATCGGCCCAACCAAAAATGTTTCGATAAATCCGATCCAAACATTAATTTTAAATTTAAAACAACAATTGAATGACAATAAATTTGTTTCCTGTCAAAATCACGACTTGCCATCGTTTCCACTGCCAACGAAGTTTTATATCACAATATAATTAAACTCGTACTTTAGGAATATCTGGTAGCATTATTTGAGAGGACATTTTTTTTCTTCGAAACTATGCGGTAAACGAGTAAAAGAGTACAAGAGTAATGAAATGAAGGTAATTGATTAGTCTTCAAGCTCAACAAATTTCAGAACTGTAGTATGATCCCTTAAAAAGTTCTGAAAAGAAATGTCAGGGCGTGATGGTTGTTTTAACCCTTCTACAATTTCTTTTAGGTTTCTTCGATTACCAAAAGGAAATACACTATTGCCAAATCTTATCAAATTCATTTCACTTATTTTTGAATAGCGTACAAAAATGTGTTTTTTTATGTGAACTTTGAACCTTTCTCACGGACAAACGGTACATTTTGGCACATAAATGAATTGGGTCCAATCAACTTATTTTGACCTCCTCTACACGTGGTAGCTCTGTGTCCCAGCAATTTTGGGACACCCTGTATATGCCTCTGTGCCGATATTGATAACAATAATTGATAAATATGAAGTGAAATTATTAGCGATTTCACGACTTGAAACACATAAGATTCACAAAACAAATTGGTCCCAATTTGAAGTTACGTAAGTTTGGAGTGAATATGATGTTGAGATTGGAGATGTAAACAGGGTGATTCAAAAGTAAGCGGTATCCTTTCAGGGGCGTATTCCTTGCATGAAAATGAGGCAAAAAGTTCCTATTAATAAGGGTCCGAAAATGCTTCCCAAGGGAGCTGCGCCCCTTTCAATAGGACACCTCAAAGACGATTTTTTCTCTATAACTTTGAAATCTCTCACAATAAATCTTCGAAAATTGGTTTACGGTATAAACATTTGATGGTAAATAAGACTCAGAATTCAAAATTGCAAGATTAGATTCAGGGGCGTCACATGCGCGGGGGAGGGTAAGTGTAAGAACATCGATCTTATTTTGATATACAGGTTATTGTGATTTAGTTTGAAAATTATAAAATTCTAGAGTTTTTCACGTAAAAAAGGTTCCCTAGTTCAAATCGATAGAGCATACCATTAAGGAGATAATCGACTTTGAAAACTTTCTGATTTGAGTAAATCACAATAACTTGAATATCAGTTCTGGGAATTTAATGCAACTGAATTCAATCTCGTAGTTGAGAGAAAATCTTTAATTATACATTGATGAAATTATCATTTTCTGTGAAATGCCATGAGAAAACTTTCATGAATAACATGTGAAACCGAGCAATAACGATTCACATCCATTTATCCACGAGATGAAATGAAACGATTTCAACTACATTTTTTTCAACAAAATTACATTTGACATAAAGCTTGCACTTGTTTTGACCTGTTGAATCAGAATATGTTAAAATATACAGGCATTTCCAGAAAAACCGGAAGTCTGCCATATTGAATTGTAATGTCATAAATCCGAAATTGTTACTTATGGAACTGTAACAAATTTCAGAAAAATCCGTTTACGAATGCAGAAGTTTTTCAAAAGTCTTCGTAGACTGAGCATTTCTTATTCGAATTTGTAACTGCAAATTTTGGAACGTTGAAAAGCTTCGGTAGGTAGAAAATTATGATTTCAGAGAGAAACAAATATATGTTTTTTTTGTTCACTTCACCTTTTCCGAGTACATAATATATTGGGGCTTTAATCCATGAAGAACAATATTATGAAATCAGTTTTCCTATAGAAAAAACCTTATCTGATTTCATAAAAAAATTGATCCGTTTCCATTTCGATGAAATCGCACGACACTGTCCAAAATAATATTTGTCTTCAAAAAGCTGATCATATTGATGGTTATCCATACCGGTTGTTATTTCAAATAGAATACCCTGTATTTCATTGCATTTTTAGATTCTCCCTGAAGAGCTGATTTCACTTCAACTTGTGGTCTATTGGAAATGATAACAGAGAAATAGAGTGTTCAAAAGTAAGATTTTTCAACTTTAGAATTTGTTTGTGTCGAAACTATTCATTGCCGACCAAAACGGCTCACATGTCTCTATCTCAACTTTTGATTTACTATTTACTGATATTTAATCGGAACAGATACAGGGTGATCAAAATTCTGAATCTTGAACCACCCTGTATCTGTTTGGATTAAATATCAGTAAATAGTGAATCAAAAGTTGAGGAGGGACATGTAAGTCGTTTTGATCGATAATGAATAGTTTCGCCACAAAAAACTCCTTGAGTTGAAAAATCTCGATTTTGAACACCCTATATCTCTGTAATCTCTTTCGATAGACCCCAAGTGTGATGTATCGATAAAATCAGCTCTTCAGGGAAAATTTAAAAATGCGATAAAATATAGGGTGTTCCATTTGAAATATCAATTTTGCTACTACTTTCTAGTAGAAGCGGAAACACTGCATTGTCGAAAATAACTTAAATGAAGAGATCGTATTCTAGAATATGAGCATGCACATTTTTATGGACTTTTTCCCGACTGATTCTCGATATAAAGATAGTGTAAGCTCGTCGTGACATACCCTGTAGCTTTGAAGTGAAACACGCTGTATATGAGATATTTAAATATTCAATTTGAACCAAAAATTCGAACCAGAAATGCTGACATTTTTGAAAAACAACAAGAATTAACTATTCCTTCGAGGAGGTGGATCGAAATTATATTGAATATTCATATGAAACTTTGAAATGTGTTAACTGAAGCTTGGTCAGCAAGAATACTTGTGAAATTGGAACCAGAAATGTTCAGAAAAAAGAGCTAAAGTAAACTACCTTTCTGAGGGGTTAAATTGAAATCATTTTACCGGTGGCAACAAGGTATTCATTCCAATGATTTTATTATGAGAATCAATAATTCGAATCAAAAATATCCGGTAAGCAAACTTCAATTTTGGTCAGCAAATTACACACGCCCAGCAGTGGGTCTTCATTTCCGTGTGCAGTTTCTCATGCTTTCCATTTCAAAACAAAACTTGTCAAACACTCGACTCACCTCGTCTTTTTCTTCTTCACCCCATTATCGTTCTTCTTCTTATCATTCTTCTTCGTCGTCGTCGTCGTGGTACTGACCCCCTGGCTGCTCCCTATCTCCGAAGAACTCAAATTCTGCGACTGCAAAAGCACCACGTCCTCATTTTTCCTCTTCATCCCCCCACTCCCATTAACACCCTCCAACCCAGGCGAATACATCCCCAGCTCCTGGTGGTGCAGCGGCGACCCCTCCAGCTTCTGGGGGGACCCCAGACCGGCAAACATCTCCTGCTGATGCTGCTGCAGCCCCAGCATCACCTGGATGGAGTGCACGTTGATGTTCTCCTGGTGGTTTTTGCTGAGCAAAGTCGAAGCCAGAGACGGCAAGGGTTGATTGTTGTAATCGAAGGGCTGATCGTCGAACGGCGCACCTTCCATAGTGGTTAATTGATACCGCAATCACGGCAATCTAGATCAATTTATCGCTAATTCCTTCAATAAAACAATTGCTACGAGCTTCACTTAACCAGATAAACTGACTTCTGACATTATTATTTTAGTCAATTTATATTTAACGAGATCAATTGTGGACGAGAATAGGCGCCAATCCGAGCCCATCGTCCTGCTTTGCCATTGGCTAGAGTTCCGGGGGCTGAACCTTGCAACCAATGGTAGTTATAGAGCGCTCTCTGTGCAGCTTTGGCTAAGGGTCGAATGATTCTCTATATGCTCTGCAGGTCCTATTGTCGGTTGTATTCTTTATTTAGGATGAATGATCGATGCTCGGGATGGTGGTCACGTGGATGTCGTGGGGATGTGGGTTTGTATTAATTGGCTTTTTTCTTGTGGGAATTTCGGGTAGGTTGATTTCTGGAGGTGATAAGTGGCGGGATTTGTTCGTATTGAGTATATTGGAGAGGTCATCAGATTGGATTTAATGTGTTACATTATTCTTTGTATTCATCAGGATGTAACAATGGGGTATATTTTCTTAGAGGGGCTAAAGTAGCTATCGAGTTTGTGTGCAAGTATCATAGAGTATTTCAAACGGGGATAGATGGGTTTGAGAACTTTGTTTCTTCTATCTAAGTGGGGTTTCAATAATTTAAATGTTTCTAATTGATACAGTCTATACATTCTACATCATCAGTTATATGTTCACCCAACTATAAAAGTTCATATAGGTAATTCTAAAACGAAAAATCAAATTTTCCCAAAATTGAATGCCCAAATTACTGATTTTCTATAAGTCTAAATGATATGATGTATGATGTATTTGATTCATCACCTATACTTTCTCAAAACAGAATGGCAATAGTATCGAGAGGGGTAAATCTCGGTATATTTTTTCATAAGCAATGCAATAGTACCAATGATCAATCAATCAATCAATCAATACTGTGCTTTATTGTCCAAGAATAATATTTCTTACTGACGAAGCATGCATGGTTTAAAATAATTGTTCTAGAGCATGGATTCCCACTGTGTCCAGTAGGAAGTAATATAATAATATGTACATATAGAAAAACAAATGAAGTCAACATTGTAAAAACATACGAAAAAGTACAAAGGTACATTATGTAAATTTGAACACACATCATTAAAAAAAAAGTAGTAAAATCATAATAATCTTGCTGAAATACCTATATATGATACATATATATCAGAATGAAACTTATGACAGAGTTGAAACCTAGAATCTCTCATCGTAATATTCTTATAGGTGATATATTATGCTCTTGGTAAGAGAAAATCCGCAACACTTTTTCTGATTTTTTTCAAAGTCTTGATTACTTTAAAATGCTGTGGCAGATGATTATAATTTTTTTTGCTTTCGTAAATCACAAAATTAAGATACTCTTTGAGTAGAGAAATTATTTATTCATCAAGGGGAATGTATCAGAGCATTCAGTGAATGTGTGACAACGATAATATCAAATTAGGTATAGGTAATGATCAAAAGAACAAAAATAAATATATCAGGTGGTGGCGGTTGCTAAATTTTTCTTGAATTAAAAATAAACAATCTATTCCGTGAAGCAACAAAAGAAAGTTTGGCAACAAATATTGTATTACTTTGAAGACAAATACTCCGCAATGCAGGAATTTCATGAAGACAAACTTTTGAATGCTTCTGATCAGTGACTATCAACTATTTATTCAACTTCCAGTGCTGGTTTCAGAAAAATAAATTACTTGTAAGATGCGAAAAATAAAAATTGAAGGTATCTAGAGCTGCTAGGAGCAATTTAATCCAATGATCCTAGTACGTTGAATAAGAGATAAGGGTTCATTTACAATTTTAACCTCAACCTGTCAAATTGGATGATTCTATACAAGACGGAGGAAATAAAACAAAAACACCGGAACTGAATTAATAAATTTGAATGAACTAGTCTGGAAACCTAGATGATGGCCATGGAATAGAACCACTGCGTCCTATCCATACCTGTTTATTATTATTCTTATATTATTATAATTCTGAATCACACTGTAGTAGATGGCAGTCATTTTCGTACGCAGACAATGATCAGAAGTCTGAATCTTAAATCACCCTGTATTTGTTTCAAATAAATGTCAGTAGATAGTAAAAGTTGGGATATATAGGGACATGAAAGCCGTTTTGACCAATAATGAATAGTTTCGACACAAAAAAATCCTCAAGTTAAAGAACCTCGATTTTGAACACCCTAAATCCCTGAAATCATTTCAGCAAGACCCCAAGTGTGAAGTGTGATGCATTGAGATTCAAGGAGAATCTAAAAATGCAATGGAATACAAGGTGTTCCATTTTGAAATAACAAAGTTGTTTCTTCTTTTCGTTAGAAGCGGCAGCGCCGCAGGGCTGAAAATATTTTAGAACGATATCCCCCTCGGAAATTTAGTTGACGTGTTTCAGATTTTTTTGTGTACTTTTTGTGATATAAAAACTTGTGGGAACATAATTTTTTGAAGCTAGTCCTAATTTTCGCAATTCTGATTATGCCAGTCGAATTACCAGAAGTATAGCCTGATGTTCTATAAAAAAATGAGAAACATCGAAGTAGCTGTTGGAAAGTTCTGACCAAAAGAAGATTTCGTCAAGGTCTATGAATCAACCAAGATGTTATCGAAAAAGATGTGAATACACTTCTGATGCTCACTTTTTAGTCGCCTAAGCCCTATACGTGGTACAGGAGTAAGTATATGTACGGTTCCTCATGACTCACCCTGTATAGTTCAATTTGTTGGATGATCTGAGTAGTGTAGGCATTTTAACTTCCAGAAAATGTTATTTGATCAATTTATTTTTCAGATTAACACATTCTCATCAGGCATTTTTTTTAGAAACCACAACATTTTTATTTTGTAGCTGGTGTTTATAAGAAAATCTTCAATGAACGTTGAAAAATAACTTACCAATTGTGAGTTTTTCGAGCACCACATCATATTCACAGTTTTCAAACAGCCACAAAAAATATATCACCTTCAGATAGTTTTTATTCACTACTTGCACCCCCAAATTTTATCCTTCTACCCCAGCCGATGGTGGACCCGTAACTGAAAGAATTAGAAGAATTAACAGATATAATATGTCAATTAAACCATTCATAAACAATATGATGATGAAGTTAACGAATCTTAAGAGACGAGCGCACGCATTTGCTTCAATAACCCATAAGTGAATTTATCAATTTACCCAATTTTTCCCTATTAGCGATGATGACTATTAGTGCAGCCATTAGTATATTAGTTTAACCAGACCAGATTCTTTAATGCAATTCACTCCAATATTGTCCAATTGTTGCTATTAAAACATTTTACACACTTAATGTACCCAGTCAAATGTTGTCCTCCACTCAGGAGGGTTGGGTTTTCGAATTTTTTCTTCTTCCTTTACCAAAATATTCATTCATTCCTCGATAACTGTCGTTTAGTGAGTGGAAAATAGTGAAGTGGTTTTTACAAAAGTGTCCAAAAGAATTGGTCACCTCGAGACTGTCAAGTTTCATTCTATCTCTCCATGTTTTCATCTGAGGCATCAATGTCAGTGACAGAAGAACATTCGGAATATCTGGGAGAAGAACATTTTGGGAACAACCAACTGATTCTAAGTAGATGATGAGAATCTTGGATTCACATTAGCATATCATCAATATGTTCCTCATCTATTGATTTTGAGGGAACAATGTTAACATTACAACAAACTGGTTGAGATTGTATTTTATACAAAAGGGTAGTGGAATAATCCTCAGCCAAGGTGAATTAGTAGAAAAACTTCGATAATCTACTATAATAGTACTATACTACATACTACTTCTTCATTCATTTAGGTACTCCACTTTGTGATACCATGGATTTCTCCTATAGATGTTCAGTGATAATAGATTAGTGCAGAATACAAGTGAACTATACAAGTCATTACAATTTCGAAATGAAACAAACTACAAATGGTCCAGAAGCAAATTGTGTTGAAAAATATTTGGGATAAAAACAATAAACTTCATCATCATGATGATGTTCATTCGAAAGCATAAGTGATGGTGTCTAATGTTGTGAAGTGTATTGAACGTTTCAAGTTGATTGAAGCTTCTTGGACTGAGAAAGAATAGTCCATGACGGATGACATCCTATCTTATATTGAGATAAGTGAAACATCCTTGAAGACAGTTATAGAAATAATCGCAAGATCGCATTCTGCAAAAAAAAATTGCACAAACCTTCATAGACACATATATGATGATGTTTATTCAAAAGCAGAAGTGATGGTATTTAATGTTGTGCAGTGTACTGAATATTTTAAGTTGATTGAAGCTTCTTGGATTGAAAAAGAATAGTCCATGACGGGTGATATCCTATTTTATATTGGGATAAGTAAAACAACCTTGAAGGCAGTTATATCTAGTTCTTGAACCATTTTACAGTCACAAAACCAATCTTTACTAAAAATTGAATCATATGTTATATACAGTGAGCACGTAGAGGTTGAAACAAATTTGTTAAAGGCTTGATATGGCCAGTGGGGAAAAAAGCTCAGGCATGTCGATTGTCTTTTTCAGTTCGCAATACAATCAAAAATATGACATCCATACACAGAAAAATGCATTCTTTTTTAAATATTATATTATATGGTTATTTGAGATTCATTGGAATGTTCTCTCATCGTTTCCCTAAAATAAAAAAATATTAGTTTTATTTCAATATACGTGTAGTGTGAGGACAAACCAGATGGTTTGCCCAAGATGTCACTTTAAAAATGTCCCTGACAGAGAGCTTAAAAGGAAAATTCATTTGCTTGTCAGTGACACTTTTTTCTCAGTCCCCTCAATATTACTTTTTCATGTATATCTATAAAAATATTTTCCATTTTCATGTTGAAAACGAGAGCAGATTCGTTCCCGAAACGTCCAAAGATGAGTGAAAGTTTGATATTCACTATTTTTTCTTCTCAAAATCTTTTTCAAAACATAGAGTCACTGACAAGCTACTGAATTTTTCTGTCAAGCTCTCTGATAGGAAAATTTTTAAGCGCAGTGACATTTCAGGGAAAACCATCTGGTTTGTCCTCACTACATGTATATTGAAATAATACTCATATTTTTTCATTTTTCAGAAACGAGGAGAGAAAATTCCAAAAAATCTGGAATAATGTACATAGCACCTCCTGGTATAACCTTC